TATATATATATTATCATGTGACCAATACAGTGTCAATAAGTCATCTTTTGACGGGGTTAGTGATTGCTTGGCAAAGTTTTGGGCTTTTGGCAAACCATCAACGTCTCATTCTCAACTCAAATGCGATGAAATGCTTGCTCCATAATATCAAGTATGTTATATGGCCCCAATCCGCCATTCTTGTATATTTTTTTGTCGATGCTGAAATCGTTACATATCACCTTGTAGCTCGATAGACTCTTGATACGGAAAGCACATTCCTTTCATATTGTCTTCTTTGTTGTAAGCATTTTTTTTCTTTCTCATATGGTACCAAATGAACAACAATAGAGCCAATCCTTCACCAAAAATAAACAAAAAATAAAAATCAACAATAATAGATGTTGATAATTTACTTATTGAGTTTTACTATTTTTATAGTTAAGTGCTCTTATCTTGGCTTGAATTGTCAAACAGGATGGAGGGGAAAAAATAGATGAACTATCTTTGACTTTCTTTCTTCAATACAGTGCTAAAAGTGAACACAACAGCAATTCAAGTTCGATGTCTTTAATACTCGAGCTTAAAATAACACTACAAGTACTATGTTGTTTCATTTCAAAATGAAAAATGATATATAGGTTAAGTTTGAGTCCAAAAAACCATTTGCGTAGCTCATTCAAACACGGTACATTACTCTAGCTACTTTATGCAACACAAACGTATACAGGTCCTTAAAAAATAAAGAAAAAAAAAATTAGTCTCAAAGTTGACAGCATGTATTTGAATTTGTGCACAATTTTTATTATACGTGCATGTTATTCTACGTAACCGCAAGTCCTCAAGACTTTAAGAACAAAAATGCTTGATGGCAGGACCTTTTATGATTAAACTATAAGCAAATGGTAGAATTAATATATCTAGATGGTGAAAAAATCTGGCAGTATAATAGATGATGTTATCATAGTTAATGCATGACAAAACTAGTGCTGCTTAAAGCTCGTAACTAATACAACTATATATATTAAACTAAATAAGTGGTTCTAAAAATAACTTCTACATGAATGAAGATAATGCTTTTGAACCCCCATAATCATTCTCTACACAAACAAATTCAAAATAATGCTTTCATTATCTCATGTCATTGCTGGAGACAATAGAGGGAAACATATAAATAAATTTACCAAGTGTATAGTGCATTGTGCGGGTGGGGCTTAACCATAGACGACTTTGAGCCTTGGCATAGGAACCAATTGAGACTTCACCTTTCAACAAAAGGTTGTTGTTTCCAATAATCCACATGGTGGGGGGTTGCAAAAGCTTTCTTCCCATCACAATTCAAATGCTCACCCATAGTTATGTTTTTCATTGAGAAGTTTGAAATTTTGATTTTTTTTTTTACTTTAAAACAAAATAAGGGCTACAATTTATTACCATCAAGAACCATATCATATAACAAGACCAACAAGAAATTGTTGTGAAGCCTGTCTGATTTAAATCAATAGAATGAAAGAAAAAGAAAAGGAAATAAAGAAAGAAGCTAGTCGCTAGATACAATGTACATCTTTAATTTGACAAAAGCAAAAGAAAACACATAAAAGAGTTTGACAACTTTCTCGTAGATTCCAACGTGGACAAGTGGGACCCTTCTTCTTAAGTCGCTATTACTTGTCGTGGCTTATGGTTTGCTTTCACTACCCCCCATAGGGTGTAATGTGGTCTGAATAATGCACTATATAATTCAACTTAATATTATCCTTTTAAGGTTAGTTGGAAGTGTGGGATCCTTCCTTTGAAACAGAGTCTTCGTATCCCACTATCCAAATAACCTCGCAACTTTTAGTCTGTGTCACATGCAATACAACAAACATAAAATAACAACTCAGTTTGACATGAAACATGGACTTGCCCTCCAAGAATATCATCTTGTTTCTCACCTCCATTCCACTCATATCAATTTAAATCATCTTCTCTTTAACCTGTTTTTTCAATTGAAAAATGATAGTTTAACTCAAAAATTCTTCTCTATCGGTTCTTAACTTTCTGTTTGTCGATTCTTAATCAAAAGGATTGAAAAAGTAATGATAAAATGTATCACCATCATATAATTTCTCTCGATTTTTTTTCTTCACATGTCATCTATTATATCTATATTTCTGTTTTTTCTCCCAAGGTGTTGAATATATAACATTGAGGTATCCACTGCTCATTTTTCTTGTGAGATACATATTGTTAAAATACACCTATAGTGTTATATAGTTCAATTTCTGTTATACAAATTTATAATAGCCAGAACAAATGAAACGGCTTACAGTTAGTGTATGGAGATGACCCCGCATGACTTGTTAACAGTACCTTAGGCCTGCCGAAATACGACTTTATGGCTCCAACCTCCAATGTATACACTCTCTTTGTGAAAGAATCAATCATGATTTCAGAACCATGTATGAGTGTAACAATGGGGCCTATAAGCTATAGCTGTTCATCAAGCATTATAGTTAAAGGAACATCATTTGCTCTGTTGTTGAATTAAGGGAATCAGAATCTGTGTCATATTCCATTCCCTTTTAACAACTTTTCGTGCCTCCAATGAGCTTTAAAGTTAAATGAGTTTATGAATGTTAAGAAGAGGCTGTTGGCTGCTCCATTCTTCATTTGCTACCTATCATAGGATTCAAATACGATATCAAGTGGACTTTTAAACAAATGTATCACTTTAATTGTTCTGTATTTGTACATATATAAAGAAAACCAACAATTCAAGTGAGATAAAATAAAATAAAACACCACTTTAAGTCAAATTCTCACTGTTAACCACACATGAATCAACTAGTGCATAATTGTTTCAACTTAGCTCATAATATCGACTTCATGTGAACCAATAATGTAGAGTTCAAGTCTCAAATATGTGATACAAGATTATTTCAGTTTAACTAGTTGTCCCAAGTTCATGTCTTAAATATGCAAATACATTGAATACTCAGAAGAAAAACTTTTAAATGTGATCTTTGAGAATAACATGATATAGACTAAAATAAAATTCTGTTACAAATATCTACGAACAAAGTAAGTAACTATTGAAGTGCAAGATTAGATTTCTCACCCACACTATAAAACAGGTTAAACAATACAACCAAGTCCACAAAGAAAACAACACCAACCTCCTTCCAAATCACCCAACAAAACACACTCCCCACGAATGTCTTGACTCGTTTGGAAACTACACCACCCTCCACCCTTTTCCTTGGACGAGCGCAAGGGGAAGTGTAATCCAGAAGCTCAAACCAAACTCAAATTCACATCAAACGATACACCCAAACCCAATCATGCACCACAACCCCATAATAATTCACCCACAAAAGCAAAAAAAAAAAAAAAAAAAAAAAAAAAAAAAAAACAAAGAAAGTCACAAATGAGTAGGACCCGAGCACCCCTATAATTATCAAACAAACCCCAAAACCATTTCACAGCGTGACTCACTCACATAACCAAATTTCAATTTATTTATTTAATTTAATTTTTCTGAAGCATGACAACAACCTACGGCACGATCCCAACCTCGGCGGCTCCGAACCTGGAGTACATCTCACGCGCGAAGCAGAGGATCAAGGCGGGGCTGGGGACGCGGCGGCCGTGGAGGGCAATGGTGAACTTGCGGTCGCTGAAGCTCCCCGGCGGCGGCGTGGCGGAGGCGATTTGCAGGGTAAGGATCAACGTGTCGTACTTTCGCATGAACTACGCCATGGTGGGGCTGCTGATTCTGTTTCTGAGTCTCTTGTGGCACCCCATTTCGCTCATAGTGTTTCTCCTCATCATGGCGGCCTGGCTCTTTCTCTACTTCCTCCGCGACGAACCGCTGGTGCTCCTCGGCCACCTCGTCGACGACCGCCTCGTGCTCCTCGCCATGGCCCTGCTCACGGTGGCGCTGCTGCTGCTCACCGACGCCACCGTCAACATTGTCG